TTAAACTTCTCCACTTAAGGATGAACCTCATCCTCACCACCAACAAACTTTGACTTGTACGCCTAAAAKGATGGACTTAAATGAGTTCATTAAGTTTGTACAAGCCATGCCATTTGTGCACAAAAAGAAGCTCTTGAGTGTGAGAGTCCTTGAGAAGCAGAATACCTCAAGTAAACTGATCTAAATGTCAGTAACTTGCAAATAATCTTTAGGGCTAAAATCTAAAACCTTAGAATCAAAGCTATGAATGGATGAAWTACTTTCTGACTGTGTGGGCAGAGGTACAAACATGACACAAACACCAAAGAAGGAAAATGAGGATAAAGACTGTGGCCAGCTCTATCATGCTTAATTAAAGTTTCACAAGCTGGAATTGAATTTGTTTTGGCTCCGCCTGCCAACAAAGTCTCTAATTTAGGCAGAATGGCAGGCTACTAAATTCAGTCTAATGAAGCTAGAGTCTATGTCCCTTAGTTTTATTAACATGCTTTAATAAGGTGGTGTGAAACCTAAATCAACACTGAATAAATGTGGATAGGAAACAAAAATATGATACGTCTTGTTTTTAATTCCACCGTGAAATAATCTGAATTTAGCTGCCGAGACATGCTTGTCGCCTTGTTTTGGCATTTGAGATAAAACGCAGCTGAAATACAGTATGCATGACTGACAGGATGTTGGGGATTTGGCCTTTTTCAGTGCTTGTTTAATTGGCTAAATGATTTTCAAAGAGGTTAAACAGAGAATGTCAAGCAACAAAGCYAAGCCAGACACTGGCAGTGCTTGAGAATGTCACCAACTTGTGTTGCCAATTTTTCAAAATGCTGTTTTTTTTCTTCTTTTTTTGTTTGTTGAAAAGAAACCTGAGTGCTGCGGCTTATATAAATAGATCTTATATGTGATTATGTCTGGTCTGGTGATTATATCCGATCTTTACTGCACTGCTGTCCCACACAACGATCCAAAATATTGAATGCGAAATGTCAGCAAGACTAACGACTCCATTTTCAGTTAAGTGTGAACATTTTCTGTTCATGATGGATGTGTTTATAGTGTGGCAAATGACCTTGACAACAGATGGTGATTATACTTCCTCTCTCTTTTCTTTTTCCTCTGTAGCCTTCTCCAAGGCCAACACAGAGCAATTAACAGAAACACAGCTRCAGAAAGATAGGACCATGCCAAAAAGTCACAAGTTGTGAAAATTGAAAATAGAGAACCTTTTCTACATGTTTGTATGGCCCTTTGTAGCTCATCTGCTTTGTGTTGTCACTACAATATGTTTAATCTGGCAGTTTGCACTTAAGGAAAAAGTCAAATGTATTACCCTTCAATAAAAATTTACTATGATTGCCAAACTCATTAAAATGAATTTAACCACAATTTGAAGAACAGTCCTACTTATATGTTAAAGGCCTGCTGATTCATTGAAGGAATGCATATCGCCCTTTGTAGCTTTTAATGTCAATGTTTTAGACTGAGATTTTGCCCACATAGCAAAATTTGTCTGGCCCAGTTCTGGTCCACAGAATGCTCTAAACACTAGGGCTGCAGCTAACGATTATTTTAATAAGCGATTAATATGTCGATTATTGTTTCGATTAATCGGCCAAATCATTAAAACACTTAATTGCATGAATATGAGCAGTTATAAATTAATTTCATTCCTGAATGAATTAGGGGTGCAAGTTATTGATTAATTA